CCCCACCTTCACTCCCACTCCCACACTTCTTCCACCCCCACCTTCACTCCCACTCCCACACTTCTTCCACCCCCACCTTCACTCCCACTCCCACACTTCTTCCACCCCCACCTTCACCGTGTTCCCCATTGCCCTACCGCTCTCCTCAACCCAAACGCTCTTATTCTATCCAGACATTGCCGTTAGTTCAGATACTCTTTCTTGTTGACGCAACGTTCATCATTGTGCCTTTTATCTGTTCTATTTGTTTCAGAGAAACTACCGGCAACTGGAGCAAGGGAAGATTGTGATCTACGCGACCACCATGTCTGTGGTACGTGAGACGAGCGAGCGCTGCAAGGTCGTGCGTTGTCTGCTACAGAACCACATGGTGAGTTCTCTTTATACTAATGCAAACCGTGCTGCCAATCGGATTCATCAAACTGAGTCGGGACTAGATAGATTTGTCTTTCATAGATGGGTCAAAAGCTACCAATTTGGCACATAAAGACCGAATTCTACAAAATTTGACGGTGACCTTCAAAATCAGTTATTGCATTTGTTTTTCTAGATTGTGAGTCGAGTTGGTTGTACAGTGTCGAAAATTGTAGCTTTTGCTTAATCCTGTGGCTGCCCTCAACACAATCATCTGATTGACAGTGTGGTCTGGGTACAAGAGTTGATACAATTAGATATATATTATACCATTGAGTCGTGCTTCTCTTATTTTTATGTCCACAACTCACTGATAAAACCGTTGGGCAGATGTTTTGTAGTTGTGCGGTACTGGTTAACTTTGACTGAATTACCTTTAGTTGAATTATTTGCGAACGTTTTAAACCCCTAGGTACTTCTTAGGGTTTTTCTCTGTTTCTAGGATATCCGTAGAAATCTTTGGCTTTTTTGTTGGTTCCCATGAGAGAAAGGTTTGGAATAAAGGAAAAATAAAGTAATTAGTTAACTGTGTGTGGAGAGTTTAACATCTGGTCCTGTGGCCTCAGGTTCGGTACGAGGAGCGCGACCTGTACATGAGCCGAGAGATACAGCAGGAGCTGCGACAACGCCTGGCACAGGAGGGCGTGTCAGAGGTCAGACTGCCGCACGTGTTTGCTGATGGGATCCATCTAGGGGTGAGTAATACAGAAGATATGGTGATATTGTATGTGTGAGTTTGTGTGTGTGCGAGTAAGTTTATGTGAATGTGTGTGTGTGTGTGTGT